AGGAAGGCTATTTACTGGAAGGGGGAAGAGAATGAATTTGGGGATCTTGAAATGTAATGGCCACCATTAATTCTTCGTTCAGCTCCAGGGAGCTGGTGGTGACACATCCCACCTGAAAACACTGACGGGGAAAGAGTGGTGGCCTTATGATTAAAGCACAGGTCTAGATAACAAAAGATAGCAGGTTTCGCATCTGGTTGCAAGTCTAGCTTCGCTTAGGCCAAGTGATCCTTGGCCTTGAGCTTCCCCACCCTTTGCAAAACAGCTCTGGCGCCATTGCGGACGTGAGGGAGATGTGGGAGAGCCTTTGTCAACAAAGTGCAGTAACAGCTGTAAGGATGTCAAGTGATCCCTCCCGTGCTTGGTGTGTACAGGCTGTGCGAGTACCTGGGTGAAGATGAACGCTGATACCTAGTTATGAATTTATAATGTTCCTCCCATCCAGATGCCAGAACAGCAGGTAGGGCAGGAGCGGCTGAGATACCCATCTCTTTTGTTCCCAATGATAATACCCCTGAACAGCCCTACAAGTGCGCTCGACTCGCACATCCTCTTCTCATTAGCTACCAACCACCTCCAGAGCATGATGCAAGCCACCAAGCTGATGTGCCGGCACGGCACATCTCCTTGGCCCGTGTGTCTCATGCTGTGTGCAAGGCAATTGGGAAAACCCGGTCACACCCGCCACTGCCTTCTCCAGAGGAGCAGCAGCTGAGGACACAGGACTGGTGAGTGCAGTTCACTGTTGGCAGGCTAGGAAGTAGCAGGAGTAGGAAGGCCACCGTTGAGCAATTTCATCTGGTGAAAGAATATTTCAAATTCACTTAGATGCAAACAAAGTGGGTGGATTAGCTCTGATCAGCTGGCATGGGCTAAGGAAGGAAAAGAGATGTATCTGTGTTCAAATCTGAAAGGGATATTCATTTCTCCCTGCTTATCTTGTTTAGAAAACCCCAGGGTGAACTCCCAGCTATCCCTGCTAAGTTTGCACAAGGAAGCTTGAAATGGATTAGCGTGCATGCTAGTATGGGCTTGAAAGGCTCTGCTGCTGGTCGTGGTTTGTGTGTTTTCTGACGCGCCTGTAGACATGATGGCCCCGTCTCCTCCCAGCCATGCCTGAGCTCTGGGGAGTTTCCCACAGGCTTTCAGCTGCCGTGTGGGCTACCTGATGGCATTGCTCGGCTTTCCTCCTCCTCTCCTCTACCAGCCTGATTTTGTGGAGCCATTTTGTGGATGCCTCAACCATCATGGGACCTCTCATTCTGTTACCACACAAATGACATCCTTTTGTCCTCTAGCTTACCTAAATCCTCCAAAATGTGTTTCCATCTGCTTCTCACTTCTTTTCGCGTCTGCCGTAAGGTATAGATATCATAGTTGAGCTTTTGCCATTCCTGCAAGGAGATAAGAGATACTCAGCATTTGCATGCAGGGAGGTCTCTCCTTCTTTTGTAGGAATTTCAGCTTTTAGAAATGGAGCCAGAGTTGAACTGTTGATGTTGGCACTGAGGGATCGGTGTGAAAGTCAATGGCCAGTGTAGAATGTTTCAGCCTGACATTTGGTAGAGCCCCTCTGCATTTTCTCTGCATGTACAAAACAGGCTTCCAGTTAACCTTGAAATGGGATTACAGAATTTAGCTTAGGCATTGCTGATGACCAAAGTGGTCTCCTCAGTCAGACAGGGAGAATATCATTCCAGCTCTGTGCTGGAAATTATAATGCTGTCCTAGGTTGGAGAACAACATGAACTTCCAAATGTAGTTCATTTGTGAGGCTTCAGTGTCTCTGCTCCAGAAGCCCTTCACCCCAAACCTTGACACCCCTGCTAGTATCAATACCTGAGGTTGTGAAAATACATTATTTGGCCTTTAACAGTTTGGGAAAGCATGACCTCATATTAATAATTACCTCCCATAAATGATTGCAACACCTTATTTTCATAGCCTTGTAGTCAAACTGGCATGGCACATTTTCTCACAGCTGATGGTAAACCAAAAGTTTGCAAAAGAGCTACTGCTCTCTGTATGGTCACACATAAAGTGGCTTCTCCAAACTGCTCAGCCCCTGTTTGGCATTTAACTGGAGCAGGCAGGTTTTCAAAAGCACTGGAAAACAAGAAAAACAGACTTTTTTACAGGTTGGGGTACCCTATTTTAAATAGCAGAGAAGAAAGGTGCATGTGGATGGTTGAGCTGGAGTCATCAGACATCATAACTGTTGGAGACTCCCAGTTGCTGCAGCTAATGCCTCACTTAACACCACAGCTTAAATCCTGGCACTTGACCTCGAGCTTTATATCTGCATAATGGGACACTGTCTAAAAGGTTTTGAGGTTATTTATTAAAGTTATACCAGCACAATTAAACACATCTGTACAAGTATGCATTCCTGTGGAAATGCATGTATTCCACAAGAAAATCAGCAGTACTTTTCCTAGCTGAGTTAAACCAATGCCCATGCTGAAAAGGATGCATTTACAGAAGCAGCCACACGGCGGGTCATAACATCACTCGAGTAATTTCCCTGCACTAACACCCTTAATGAATTTTATTTCTCAGCGGCAGATTACATAGATGGACTCTTGCAGAATAAATGGGTGTTAATCTGTGCTGTCTCCCTGGGATTTTCCTATGTGACATGCTGGGTTCAAAGGGGTTAAATAATACCCAGGAAGGTAGGCTGTGCTTTAGAAACTCCACTGTTTTTCTGATACATGGTGCCTTAAAGAGTTGACTTGATTCAATGAAAAGTTGGAGATTTCTTAGTGGTTTTTTCCTGAACCTGGCTGACACGCCACGACTGCAAAGAATTAAACGACGAGCCTGTTTCTGTGTTGTTCAGCGATAGCTGCAGGAACCCCTTGGAGATTGCGCTTTGAAAGAAGCAGCCGGCAGTGTTAAGACACTGGTGAATTCAGGTCAGGAGAGCAGGGGAAACGCGGCTCCGCCTGCAGCCACTCGCTCTGCACCGCTCATCCTCCCGGAGAGCAAAATCCCCTTCAGTTTTAGCTTTGTGTCGCTGCTCGCAACGAGCTAGCTTTGCCGACCAGAGCTCTGTTTCTCTCTTGACTGCAGCGGTACTTGAAAACAGCTTTTCTGTTTGCACGGGAGGGTACCTGGCTGCCAGCACAAGGCATCAAAATGCCTCTTCAGCCCTTCGCTCGAGAAAGGAGGCAGGGACAAGACTCCTCTCTCCTGTGACACCAACTTGTAGCTAGGAATTGAGCTCCTCTCAGTGAAAAAGAGGAGGTTTATTGTATTAAAGCTTTGTGGGAAGTTTATTGCAAACTTGCAAGTTTTAAAGAAAGAGAATAAAGGCTGCACGGTGCTGTGGTTCCCACTGGCAGGGATCCCTCGGAAACATCTCAGCCTGCTCGCGACCCCACAGTATAAGCAGAAAGGAGAGCGAACCAGGCTGGGCATGCTGGCGGGGAAATAAGCTGTGTGTCTCTGCCCTCCCGCGGAGATGAACAAGTGCTTTAACGCAGACAATCAATCGAGACGGCTGCTGTGATTCCAGGCGTGCCTCACGCTGCTTGAAGGAGCGAGCCGGGGCTTGGGAAAGATGCTCCCCTCCCCAAAACGCAGCTTTCAGGGCTGCAAGGATTTACCCGCGGCGGTAGCGAGCCAGGCTCCTCACTAAGCTAAACAGCGAGCAGTGCTTAGCATGCAGGGAAGCTGCTCCTGATTTTCTCTGGATTAACAGCAGTCTGTTTTCCCTTGTCTATTTTTGTTTTAAGGGAATCTAGGTTATGGCTTTCTTGTACGTTGTAGTTTTGGGGTTGTGTTACGGACATGGGTACAGTACATATTTAGTCCCAGGGGACCTCTAACTGTGGCCTGTCGATGAAGAATTTGAGGAGCGTGCAAAGGAGCAGCTTTGGTACCGAAAATTATGCTTAAGGGGGGAACCTCTTGTTCTGGTGGTATTTCTTTTGCCTGGGTGTAGAGCTGAATGTATTTATGTTTCCCCAGAGAAAGCTGGGAGAAGGATGGTGCACATGGTGCCAGGTGTTGAAAAGCAACTAGGGCCAGCAGAGATTATCAGGGTGAGAATGGGCAGCTCCAGGCTGAGCTCTCGAAGGGACTCACGCCCTGTTCTCCATCAGCCTTACAAAGCACTGAGTTTTCCCAGGTGATCCCTTGTAGCAGAGACATCCCAAATTCTGTGGGCAGGGGGTTGTCCTCTGTGTTGTTTTAATGAGGGAAATAAAGTTAAGAGCATCTTTCCACCCCCAAAATTATTCTTAAAAGCATCTCCCTTTAACTACATGGCAGAGGAAGAGCAAAGCCTGCCCAGCCCTGTGTCTCCACAGAGGAATGGGCAACATCGGAGACTTTGGGGAGGGTGTTCCCCATGCACGTCCCGGAGACGTGAGCTGCGGAGGGAGCGTTTGGTGGGGCCGGGCGGCACCAGGAGGCTGAGGCTGCTCAGCACCCGCTGCCGGGCAGCCCCAAGGCAGGCAGCCGGGGCTCCACGCCAAACCCCGCTCTCCCTCAGCCCTCGCTGCGGCCGGTGCAGAGAAACGCTGAGGCGCACCCGCGCA